GACAAGGTGAGTGCCGCGCGTCTGGGAAGCGCGCGGGGCTTGGGATCGAACCACCATCATGCCGCCTTTCTCGCTATGCAGACTCGTTCAGGGCGCATATATGGTCCAGTGAGGTACTCCCACTTTGTTGAAGATGCAATGGATATGATATTGTACACAACCGTATCGAGTCTCTGTTGCACTTCGTCCAATCGTAACATGCTGAGACCCATAACATGTTTTATGTATACGTATTGCCAAAGGATGCCAAATCTTCACTCAGTGGGTTCGAGACAATCAATACGTATGAATAGCCTGTGCCCTTTCCACAGGTGCTTCTCCACGGCAGCCAGCACCTTCCCTCGTGGACCAATTTTGGTGAGGCTCGCGAACGCGTCCACTACCTCTTTGGCGGCCTTGACCCAATATACTTCCTGCTGTGGATACCAGTAATGCTTCGGCATGTCGAGGAATGCCGAGGTGATTGTGCTGTTCCTATTCAACGCTTCCGCCACCAATCCGAGCAAGGACCACCACGGCATTCCGTCGTTCTGCGCCCACCGGACTCGAAGGCTCATGCTCGGGGCGAGGAAACGCGAATTGCCCCGGATTCTGGATACGAAAGCCACCTCCGTAGTGTATAGCTCGAGATCGAGTGCTTCCGGGAGTACGCGCGCATTGGATTCGTCCCTCCTGTGTTGAGACTCGCGGTAGCGTATGTACAACGCGTTCGATGTGTTGTTTTCTATGAGACTTTATTAGCACAGCTGTTTCCTTACGAGTAAAGCACTACGTACCAAACGAGCTCAGCAGGGTTTTGCACGCATCTTTCACAGTAGAGGGAAGTGCATGTACAGCATCCAAATCCACCGTCAGATCCTTTCGCACATTGCTCTGGACGTGCAGGCTCTTCAGCACGGCCACCACGCGAGGAAGACTGCCGTCTATGCGGAGAGTACGTAGCACAGGCAGTGCAACCGGGATAGAGGCTTCTTCTACGTCGTCCAATTTGAACGCTCGTGAAAGTTCGAGATGGTGCAGCGTGTGGGCATGAGGGCGAACGAGGGTACGGACCACCGTCCGTAGTCTAGGTACTGCGCTGGTTGCTGAGCAATGTACACGCCTGAGTCGGATAGTCTCTAGGCTCTCCGATATGACGGGGAAGAATAGGTTCTCGAGTGTTAAGCTCTTCAGCTTCGGGAGATTGGCTATCGTAGCTTGGGGTCCTGTTGAGTTCCTGGTGTTCCATCAATGAGACGGAGAAGATGATCTGCAGTATCTTCCCGCTACGCACCTGCAGAATCGTACCAGCCTTTGCCCCGTAGAGTGTGAAGCACCCACGTTCAACTCCGCAAGGACAGGCAAACGACCATCTCCAGCCAGGTCGAGAACATGACATAAATACGTGACCAAATCTTCGCCGTCCCGGAGAACGATGGTCTGGCAGTTGGAGAACTCAGATCCATGAAGCATCTCGTAGAGGATTGGGCTCGTGTACGCGATGGCGCTGTCCATTCGAGGGACCTGCGGTGACATCTCGAAAGTAGTCATCGCTTTTCCTGCCCTGCGCAGAAAGAGTTCTCGCTGGCTGGGGACTTGCGAATACGCTAGAGCCCAGATGACCTGATCATCCTCTACGATACGCCTCCATCTAGCGCACACCCGCGTCAAGACCATCCAGCCCATAGCACGGGTCAGTCCACGAATCCCGTTCTCGGGAGGATCGATCCAGGCGGTGTTGCGAAAGATGAGTCGGAGAACATCATCAGGTAAGCCAAAGATATATGACCTGTTTCGTTAGACGTGGTCTCAATGCGGGCTATACAAACTCACTGCAAGTAGTTAAGAAGCTGGTTTGTACCGCTGACGAGACGGCGAAGTCTGCTTGATGTGGAAGCCACTGTTGACACTGCATTCAACGCGCTCTCGTCGCGCCTCGACCAGCCGCAGGTTCTCAGCCATTCGAAGATATCTCCGCAATGTATAGCTTCGTCACGAAGAGCGCTGAAAAAGAGGTTGAGGACATGTTTGTTGATATGTATGTAACCTCGCCTACAGGACAAGACCATTGTCGAAGGACATGATGGGGTGCGTCGAGATGGGGCGACGGAATCAGCGTGTCGCAGCTTATAGCTATCCTTCCATGCCGCGCCCTTCGTCGGAATGTCTACGCAAATCAGAATTTAGCCGGTTCTAGAGGTCCCGGAGGAGCTTCAACCCGAGTCATCATGGTGGAAAGCAGGAGGCGCATCCTGTGCGTCTGATCTTCCTAGTCTGCATAGCCCTTGTATACTGAACGTAAACGAAGACGAGAGAAACTTGCGGATACCAAAGTATGCTGCCCACGGGTTACGCTTAGCCCGCAAGAGTGCATCGCAGGGATCGCGATGGCTGCTTTAATCTCCGTCAGTACAGGGGCGTGAGCTAACAGAAACAACCCGGGGCAGCTTTCACCGGAGCACGAGGGAAATGCCAGGGAAGGGGTAACCAGAATCTCCGAGAGCCCCAGAGCAGACTGTCGACACAGTGCGGAACGAGGCCCTTCAATGCTATTCTCTGGACGAGAAACACGTAAATTAATC